AGTCCCTTAACAGATGCCTAAATGCTTTCCTTCTGTCGTACTGGAACACACCACATGCAACAACAAAGGTGTCTCCTGCTTCAGCTATGTTCAAAAGACAGCTCCGTACTCGGCTTGACCTGCTGAGACCTCGCAAAACAAAGGAGGTTGTATAACTCCAACAGAGAGCCCAAGTTGAGAGACAGGGAAAAGCAAAAGCCAGAAGTTTCAAAGCTGGAGATCACGTTCTCGCTCGGAACTACCTTTCCAAAGATAGGTGGACACCTGCAACAGTCATCACACAGACTGGACCTGCTTCATACACCATGGAAACAAATGAGCTTCTCATTTGGAGGAGACATACAATATTGATCAATTACTGCACATAAGTGGCTCACAGGAGTCTACACACCATTTACCATTTTCTGATCTGGACAGACAAACAGACTCGGGGCCCTCTACAATAATGGAAGACTGACCGAAACACACCAGTACTGGAGACATTGTCTCTGAATCACTGGACTCTTCACTCGTGCCTTTAATGAACATCATTCCTTACAGAGAGGGGCTTGTGCAGTCCACATCCAGAGATACAGTGACTGGCCCAGCAATGGGTCGCTCTTATCCAAAGAGAAACATACGATCTTATTAGTAAGAACTGACCCACAGTATTGGGACAGAATAATAATAATGACGCAGCTGGTCAGGATGCTCTCGATGATGCAGCTGTAGAAGTTGCAAAGGATCCTAGGCGACATGCCAAACCTCCTCAGCCTCCTCAGGAAGTACAGCCGCCGTTGGGCCTTCTTGACCAGCTGTGTGGTATCAAGTGTCCAAGTGAGGTCTGATGTGGACGCCCAGGTATTTGAAGCTGCTTACCCTCTCCACCTCGAGCCCCCGGATGAACAGTGGCTATCATCTCCTTCGTCTTGTCTGTGTTGAGGCTGAGATTATTGTCCTTGCACCATGACACTACACTGGCCACCTCCCTCCTGTAGGCTGCTTCGTCCCCGCCAGTGATGCGACCTATCACTGCGGTGTCATCCGTGAA